CCCATGTTTTCATCTTAGGACCAATTCAGATTCTGCATTGCATCAAAGTACAATGAATCCCAGTCAGCAAGAGATTTTCAGTGGAAGTTCTCAGGATATTCAGCAGAAACGAGGTATTGAACTCTCTATTTTAAATTTGTACCATGTCACCAATGTGTTGGAGCAATAATAATATTTTAGAACATGAGAAATATGGAGGCTGTCATTGCTGACCTCCTCCTGAAGATGCTAGTTACCAAGGTAATATACTGTGCCATTGGCTTCAATACTTTGTCACTGAACCAGAACATGCATAAAAGGAAGGTTTTGGTTAGGGCTGAACTCCAGGCAAACCGCTAAATACATAGATGAAATGCATATTTGGGAGCTGTGTGATCTGCCCCATGTTTGTATGTCTGTGCATTTTGTCCTGAGATGTTCCACCCAGCACAACCCTATTTGCAGGGCTTGAAAAATTTTAGGGTGTCTCACCAGTCAGTCAAAAATGTCACCAGTCAGCATGACCAGATGTTATTTTTTTACTATATAATGAAAAAAGTACCGTAAATGTAAAAGAAAAAAGTTTCCCTACGTTCTGTTATAAAACATCTATTCTTACCCATATTTTTGGTAAAACATAAAAGTCGGGTAAACGGACACCAAACATGTCAAGCCTTAAAATTACGTGCGCCTGCAAAATTGCAAAAAACGCCCATAGGCGACGCTTAAAACTCTTTTACTGCTCATCAGTTTAGTGTTATCAGTGATTAATGGCCCTAAAATTATTGCTCTCACTCCGACGTTTGCGGCGATATGTAACATGCTTAAAAACACAATAGGCGCAATCGTCGTTTTCACACGTAGGCGCACCCGACGCATATCTGCGTGTGTATGTGGGGGTCAGGGACTTACAAAATTTAAAGAATCATAAAAAAAATAAAACAATTTTTTATTACTTTTTTTTTTTTTACACACAACTTTATTGCTATTACATCGGGGGCTAAGAAGCCCCCGATGTGATAGCCAATTTACATGACATGTCCTCTTTATGGAGACATCAGGGGTCTCCAAGACCCCTAATGTTACCTAGGTACCCCAAGAGAAGCTGATCAAGCCGAGATCGGCTTCATCAGCTTCTGTAGCTGGAGAGTGACACTGAATGCAGGAAGTTATGTAATCTACATCACTTCCTGCATTCGGGGACTGAGAGAAGATCAAAGGGAGACCGTATACTGATCTCCGTTTGATATCCTGTCACAGAGCCGTGCCGGTCCCGGCCGCATCGGGCACAGCGGATCTCGGGACCGGCAACGGCAGTGACAGCTGCTAATACAAGCGATCAAGCGTCTCTAGAGACGCCCCCCGATCGCTTGAATGTCAAGCTCCCTGCCGGCCGGGAAGCTGCTCGTCTGGCTCCACCGTCCTCTCGTCACAGACAAGCGGACGAGTGGATTTTTTCAAGCCCTACCTATTTGGTAAGAAAGAAGACCTGGTTTTTCTTTGCTTCAGTTCTGTAACACTTAAAGGTCACCTTCCCTCCCCAGCCTGACACTAGAGAGTGAAAGGAGAAGTAGCAGACTGCTGAGCTTATATCTCGTCACTCTGCTCTCTCCTCCTTACAGCATGTTCCTTACACTGGAGCACAACTGAAAGGCTACATATGCTGCTTTTCCCTGTCCCAGTCTGAGGTCTGCTGTACAGGAGACTGCAAGAGGCTGATATCAAGTTAATTTCAGGTACTTACTCTTTTGGTAAAAAAAAAAAAAAAAAAAAGCATTTTAACCTGTAATGACTACAGTGCTGTGTTCATTTGTATCTTTATCAGCTTTGGAGCATCTCAAAGTATTGAAGCATTACAGCTAGGCACCTAGTAGATTAAAAAGCAATGACAGCCCACATTTTTATCTTAAGCAAAGTGCCTTTAAAATGAAGTCATGTGTGGGCTCAATGGGTTTTTAGTATTAAAGCTTGGTTATCTGACTCTTATTTTAATTGTGCCTTATTATAGAGGGATGATCACACTATAACCCAATTACTGAGGGTTCTTTTTTTATTGATATTGTTCATTTATTACAGTGGTACTTTTTAAAGAATATAAGTTGATGCTTTAATCATTTAATGTGACTAGTATTTATAGTACCTGTATATATGTCTTATGCAGCAAATTGGCTAATAAATTGCTGATCATAATTCTCCCTCAATGAGTATGCTTAACTAGCTTCTTGGATGTAACCAGGGCGTGTATACTCCGCGGCTCCCCCCCCTCCCGCTGTCAAGCTGGTCCCAGGCTCGGGACCAGCATACTGCCTCTGTCACAGGGGGATCAGAGGGAGGTGGGTACACGACCTCCCTCCGGTCCCCTCTCCGCTGTCAGAATGCGGAAGTGATGTATATTACATCACTTCCGCATTCTTGTGTCACTCTCCAGCTTCAGATGCTGGAGAGAAACTGATGAAGCAGATCAGCTTCTTCAGGGGGGTCCTAGGTGACAGGGGTCTTGGATACCCCTGATGTCTCCATAAAGAGGACCTGTCACCTCTTTTGCTATCACATAGAGGGGCTTCTCAGCCGCCTCTGTGATAGCAATAAAGTTAAGTGAAACTTTAAAGTCCCCACCCCTACATACACGCATGTAAACATGCGTCAGGTGCGCATAGCTGCGAAAACGACGATTGCGCCCATTACTCCGCACATGTTACATATCGCCGCGAACGTCGGAATGAGAGCAATAGTTCTAGGGCCATCAATCACTGATAACACTAAACTGATGAGCGGTAAAAGCTTTTAAAGCGTCGCCTGTGGCCAATTTTGTGTGTGCTGTTTTTTTGCGATTTCACGAGTGCGCGCAATTTTTAAGCTTGACATGTTTGGTGTCTATTTACCCGACGTGTCCCCGTCTTTTATATTTTACAAAAAAAGTGGGTAATATTAGTTGTTTTATAACATAATGTAAAAAAAAAAACATTTTTCAAAATTTTCAGTAATTTCTCCTGAATATAGTAAAAAATAAAACCCCCAGTGGTGATTAAATACCACCATAAGAGAGCTCTATCTGTCCCCAAAAAATGGTATAAAATTAATTTCAGTTCAGCGTTGCATGACGGAATAAACGTCAGTCAAAGTACTGCAGCGCTGAACACTGAAAAATGGCCTGGCCAGGAAGGGGGTCGAAACACCTGGTCTTCAAGCGGTTAAAGAAGAAAACTTTTATTAACACTTGCAGTTGGGTTAGAGCCCGCACAGCAAAGGTTAACAGCTTGTTTGTGCCTAGGTGTTAAAAGAAAAAGTTATGCTCCCCTGATCGATCATTGGAGCTGGCTTGTTTTTAGACAGGTTCCCTAAGGCCTCCCTCCCCCTCCTCTGCAGCAGTCCAGTAATCCTTGTGCTATGACGTTCTATACAAGTGTATAGATGTGGGGACACTGAGGAAGATTCAATTCAAAGTGTTACTGTGGAAGTGGGAGGCGTGGCTTGCAGCAAGCCATGTGTGTCTATGGATGCACACAGCTAGCTGCGGGAACGTACACGCACGGGTGTCTGTTCAGCAGTCGGCTTGCTGATGGAGACACCCGCAAACAGGGAGGGGGCTAGTGATTTCGGGACAGCTACAAAAGAAGGAAAATAAAATGTTCACAACAGAAACAAATGTAATTTCAAATAAGTCTGTCTTCATAATAAAAAAAATAAGGTTTAGTATTTAACTTTAAAATATATATTTCCTTTATGTTGCATACTATTAGCGCAACTGTTAGGCCCCGTTCACATTGTGCGGTTCGCAAATCGCGCGTTTGTAGCGCGATTTGCATTTTGCGCGATATCGCGCAAATGCTTGCATTGAGCAAGCTTGAATCGCGGCTTCAAAAAGGGTCCTGCTGTAGCGACACACGACCCGCGACAGGAGGACCCTTTGCCCCATTGAGAAGTGAGAGCGATATCGCGCGGTAAATTGCCGCGCGATAAATCGCTCAATGTGAACGGGGCCTTAAAATCCGAGGTTGTGCAGAGTAAATAGATACCAAATATGCCAAACTTAAAGGGGAATTATGGGATGCGTGAAATACACTCATCCCCGTAATTAGAGCTGACATGACACTGAAGCTATCACACGTAGGCTCTATAGAACGAGAACTGAGTGATAACATACCACTGATCGCACAGGTCACAATCTTTTACTAACAAATTAATTCAAGACCATGTTGCAAAAATAAATACACCCCAATGAAAGTCATAGGAGCAAAGCTAAACTTTATACAACAAAATCCTAATTAACAAGAATTCAACTCCAGGTGAGTATAATTCTTAATTAAACAGGTGTTCAGCAGACAGTCGATTATAAAAGGGTGTTAACAAAGAAAACCCCTTCCCATTTCATGCTGTGAGCATTGGCACCACTTGGAAGTGAAATGTCATAAGGCCCGAGAAAGAAAATAAATTTATTTACACAAGAAAGTTGAAGGCTACAAGAAGATCAGCAAAGGTTTACTTATCAGAATACTGTAGCAAAAGTGATACAAAAACGTAACTGCAACCATCTCACATAGACGTCCAGGCCGTCCACGGAAGTTAACACCTTGACAGCAGCGTCTTCTGATGAGAAGGGTTAAAGAAAATCGCTATGCAAGTTCACTGCAGTTAGCTAAAGAAGTAGAAAGCCAAACTGGGGTGATTGTTTCTTGTGACGCAATACGGCGTACACTGCAGAGGAATTGCATGTATGGGGTGTTGTCCTCTCCTAAAGCCCATGCACAAAAAAGCCCGCCTACAATTTTCCAGGGACCATGCTGAAGAAGACGACTATTAGGACTCTGTGCTCTGGAGTGATGAGAGCAAGATCAATGTTTTTCGAACTGATGGCTTCAAAACTGTATGGCGTCACAAAGTTGTGCTGTACTGCTGGCGTCGGAGAGCTGCATTTCCTTGATGGTATCATGAATTCACAGACGTACTGCTCTATATTGATAGAAGATGCTACCATCCTACTTTTTTCAACATGACAATGATCCAAAACACACATGTAGGGCCACTGTTGCATTTCTGAAGAACAGGGTGAAAGTGTTTCAGTGGCAAGTATGTCTCCTGATCTGAACCCAATCGAACACCTATGGTGAATTCTGAAGAGACAAGTTGACCATCA